GCAATAGGTTCTAGAACAATGTTATGGTTAAATATTCTTCTTGAAAGGGTGTACAGGTGGCTATAGTTATATTCTTTTAGAAGCAATTTTTAAAAGCCTAGTCCTCCTAAAACTACTATTTCATAGTGTGGCAGATAGTTAAGTTACATTGAAACACAAGACAAAACTTTTTTTCTAGTTTTGGATGGACTGGGAAGAGATAGAACCTTTGTTCTTACTAATGTCTGTGTCCCTATTAAGGAGTTAGAACCTCTGTTCTTACTGATATCCGTGTCCCCATTGACAAGATTCATTCTGTTTTTGAGCTCTGGTGGCACCAGTGCAGAAAGTAAAGGGTAATATAAAAGTTGCAGTTATTAATGAAATGGGGAGTAGTTGGGAAATCTCCCAAATAGCTGTCGCTGGAACAAGTGGCTATATCAGTTTTCTCTCTCTTTCACTTTCTTGGTGGATTTTGTTGACAGGGAAGGATGAAGACAGAATAAAAGCCTGAAAGAGGTTCTAATCCTTCCACAACCCCATCCAAAGCTTAAAATGGTTTAATGTGGAACTTCACTCCAAACATCTTATGGTTCTCTAGGACTCCTAGTGTTGAGACTTACACTTTAGGTTCTTGAGTGCAAAAGTCCACTATAGCTCAGAAGTTAAAAGGCGACAGGAAACTAACATGATTTATCTATACCTATTGGTAAGCCTAGAATAAGACTTCTCTATAGCTACAGTAAATATCTTCTAAACATGCACCATTTAGAAGATATTTATTTTAGCAGCAGCCGATAACATCACCAGTGCATGCCGCTGTGCACTGAATGGACTGTGCAGTCCATAAAAAAAAAAAAAAAAAAAAAAACACCTTTGTGCCACAGCTGTGACTCAACTTTGCCTCTAATATTTAGTTTGACCTCTGAGATTTGCAGTAATGTAGAAGAGTTTTGTTCTATCTTGGAATTTCTGGGCTAGAGTGAAGAAAGTTGGCAACAAAAAGAGCTCTTCTACTTTAAAATGGTAATGATAATCCTAACTCCGATCACCATATTCTAGCTTTCATAGAGGGCTATACAATTTCTTAACTATATAGAGTATTTTTATGGTTCAGCAGTGTAAATTGTAGCTCAAATTCTCAGGTGTAATTCTCTACTTCAGACCCATGATGACCATACTCAAGTGAATCTAATGGTTCAGCAAAAAGCAGTCACAATGCCTGATGATAACACTTGAACATACATTTCCCTTGACCCTCATCAACAACTACATTCACGTTAGAAGACATTTGCACTAGTACTTGAGGCAATAACCTTCACCACTAACTCTATTAATTTCCTACAAAAGAAAAATTGAATAGTAAATTAATTTTAATACTGCAACCCAACACTAGAGATGACTGTCTGCTGAACTCCTTCAATATAAATGTTTGTTCACCATTCACAGGAACGTCATTGCATAGAATAAACTTTGTCCATAAAGGGGTTCAAGGTCTAAATGTTAAACTGACCATAGACACTAGAGAACTTGCCTTGTTCATGTCATCCAAGATTGTGTGATAATATTCTGTTAAGGCACCCATGCAGCTGCCCCATCTTTCTAAACCAGGAAAACAAATCTTCGTATGAGATCTGTGATATAGCGCCCACTGACATGCAATGATCTTCAGGTCAGAACTGTAGAAAGCTTACTTCTGTGGACAAAATAGTAAAGGCTCTGAAATGTAAGAAAAAACAAAATAATCTCTATAAAAATATCTTCTCCCAGCAGTTTTCAAATTTGTAGTAGATTCTTTACCAGAAGCCTATGTTGAAATAACATCATTTGCAACTATTAGCCTATTTTTCTGAAATTGATAGTTCCCGCTTATATTAACATATAAAATCAAAAATCTTGAACTCAAGTCCTGGAGTATAAGTTTTTAAGTCTACTTCTACATTGTTGCTCCTAGAAGGTGCATTAAAAAAGTAAAGAAACATGCATTTTTTGTTTTAGAAACATTGTCAATGGCAGCTTCCTTCTTTTTCTTGGATTCTCTCACCTGCAAGGCACATCTGATTATTGGGCACACTGTATTGTCCACAATAAAACCTGAGGCAGTGTACAATGAGAGGCTCTCGATTCAAGTCTCCTCTTTTTTCCCCAATGTGAATGAATAGAAAATTTATTAAACTTTTAATCCTTGCCTATAAGGCTTGGCCTCCTAAGATGCACCAGCACAATAGTTTGTGTACTTTCCACACTGGTAGATTTCTGCCAAAAAACACCCACCTATAATATTGTGTGCAACAGTTTCCAACATAATCAGGCCACCTTTCCGTATAATCGTAGATTTTTAGTGCAGTCCATGACTTAAGAAAAGAAAAAGAAAAAATCCATCCCCTAGAAAAGGTGCTTACCTCAGCTAAAATGTGCTTATATTGATGAATGGGAAACTTTGAACACATTCTACGCACCTTTTATGGGTGGGGGGGGGGTAAACAAAATGAAAACTATGCTTTACTGACAATTGCTCAGCAATAGCCATGTATATGCACCCACGAAGCATGATTCCCTTAGTGTCTTGTTCATAAAACTGGTGCCTGAGCTTTTTGTGACCAATTTTATCTTGTTAGCCACCAAAATAGTTAACACTTAAATTAATGTGCTGCAAAAAAAGTCTTACAGAATGACTGTATAAAAACTTAAGCAGCTTATGCACAAAAGTTTTCAAACAGTTGCTTTTTTCAGAAGCTCAAAATATTTTTCTGGACAGGGATCTTTAGTTAAAGAGAACACTATTTATATAGACACACCCCTCAACCATTAGCAAACGTTTAGTTTTATTAGCACAATGTAAAGAGCCATTGGTATTAAAAACATAGTACCCAAATTCTAATTTTCACTTTGTCTCATCTGAACAGATTTATGGTTGTTACTGCACATTCAAACAAGCCGAGGAATAATAAATGCAAGTGTTTGCACCACCAAAAACTGTGTATGCCATTTTGGATTTGCAACAATTTAGTTAAGCCCCCCCAAAGTCAAGACACTTCATAATAAGGTCCAAATGCAAAAAACAGTGCTTATCTGTAAAGCAGACATTAACAAATGTAAGGGGTTATTCAGATTGGGCCTTTGAAGTCTGCAGAGGAGTTAAAGATTTAACTAAAATGACAAAAATCAATAAAGAACTGCATAGGTGCTAATCATACTTCTAATTTTCTCATGAGGTGAAAGTTGTTCATTTTTTGTTTATCTGATGTTAAAAAAAAAAAAAAAAACTATTTTTTGTTACAGAAAAAGTGAATGCTCCAGCATTTACCCCTTCACTTTTAAAGTAAAAAAAATTGGGGGGGGGGGGGGGGGAACCCATGCATGAGAGGGAACATATTAAAATTATTGAATGGGTTATACACCAACAGCTATGTTGAGACTACTGTTAAAGTGATCAGGTGTAGTTAAAATAAGTCTGAATCAGCAAAACCAGTTAAAAGTGAACAAAATAGTAATGAAATCAAAAATGTAATTGCTGGCTTTTATTAGAACATGTTATGGCAAACAAAAAAAGATTGTGCGACTGAGCTGTATACCACTGTAACACATGGCAGCCACATAAACCCTTTAACACTGAACCAGCTTACAGAGAAAAAAAAAAAAACCCACACCACACAACCACTTGCAAAAATGTTTTTTTTGACAGATCCGAATACAAAACATCCTTGGCAAATTTGTTTGACAAATCAAATCTTACAATGTAGGTTTGTGCTAGTGAGCATCATTTTAGGGAAAAAAAATTTTTTTCAGAGGAACAGGAAATAGTTCAGGTAGTTACCTTTTCAAGCCTATAGACATGAAATAACCACCACAGGAAGAAAGGAAAAAAAAAAATTACATTAGCAGGATGTAAGCCTATGTTAAAAGGATGACCGGGTAATTGGGTTACATTAAATATTTTGCAGTCACACCACAGCCAGGAAGGGAAAAAAAAAAAAAAAAAAAAAAAAAAAAAAAAAAAACCCAAACCAGAACCCCACTAGGATAAGAAAAAAGTGGTAGTTATTTTAAGCCTTGGTCAATGAAATTTGAAAAAAATGACAGTCAAGCATCTTAATCCTCTAAAAGTTAATGTATGAACTTTATACACATTCACACCATTAAGATGTCAGTCATTTCACAAACAACTTGTTATGCAATTAGAATTAAGCACGCCCTATAGGTCCTGTTGGCCCCACTTTAAACAGATAGAAAAAATTCAGGCTGGCTGTCAGAAAATATTTAACTACATAGATGAATAAATAGGTCAGACTCAAATCATGGGCGCAATCAGTTCTGCTTCACACATAGTACTAAAGCATGCATGAAAACAATAAGACACTTGTATACCTCTTAGAAAATTTATTGGTTTTGTGGTTGACTTCAGCTCAAGTTTGTAAAAACCAAGTAAAACAAAAAAAAAAAAAAACTATTTTCTTTTTTTGGTGATATGTTAAAATTCACAGTAACATTTCATGAAAACAAGACAAAAAAAAAATGAAAAAAAATGAAACAAAATTTTTTTACAGAACTTTACAGGTGATGGAAAAACAAACAGTTTACTATAAATAAAAAAAAAAAAAGGAATCTTGCGTTTGCGACCCGCACATCTGTTCGTAAAGTTAAAAAAAAAAAAAATAATAACTTTGCTAAAGTTAATGATAAAATCTACAACTTGGGTAAAACTCAAGAAAATCCTTGAGCAGATCAATAAAACTTGTAAACATTGGATTATGGTTAAACTGTCCCAAAGTTACTAAAAAGTGAAGATGAGGAGTTCCTTATTAAAACAGAAAAGCTCATCTAGGAGTCAGTGGGGTTCAAAAGCCATAGAATCCCTCCCCAATGGACACAAAATATTGTGCTCTAGAAGTTTGCGCAAACTTTGTACAAAAAAAAAAAAAAAAATATCACCCTTTTGATTCCTTGTCCTCAAGTTTTCTGCATTCTGATATGCTTGTCAGTCAAGCAATAGCGTCCGATTTAAAATGGAAAAGAGTCCTTTAAATGTGCGTTAGTGGTACAGTGCCATTGACCGCAGTCCCTGCACTTTGGTAATGTTGGTGGACACTGTGTAACCTGCTGTTCTGGAGGGAGGCTGGGTCGCTGGCATCTCCACCTGGAGGCAGGTACATGCTGATCATATCTCTCAGGTCTCCTAAACAGGCTCTCTGAGTGTGGGAGGTGATGGCAGGTGGTGGAGAACTAGGCTCCGACTTAACGACTGAGCCCATGGAGCCTAGGCTCATGACGGTGGAGGTTTGCTGGTTGTAGGCTGGAGACATGCTGTAGGTAGAAGCTGCATTCATGTAGGTCTGGGCAGAAGACATCATTGGGTTGTACTGCAGGCTGCTCATGTCGTACCTGTGCATCTGTTGGATCTGGGGGCTGTTCATCCCTGGATGTTGGCTGTAGCCAAGCTGGTCCTGCATCAGAGAATAAGCCCCATTAGTCCAGCCATTCATGTGGGCATAAGTGTCTATCCTCTGGCCAACGCCAACCGTGCTGGTGACTGGGCTGACGCCTGGAGCCAAGAGATTGCCAGGTAAGGAGTACTTGTCCTTCTTCAGGAGGGTCTTGGTCTTCCTCCTGGGTCTGTACTTGTAATCCGGGTATTCCTTCATGTGGACAGCCCTCAGCCTCTTGGCCTCGTCTATGAAGGGTCTTTTCTCGGAGTCGCTCAGGAGCTTCCAGTCGGCCCCCAGTCTCTTGCTGATCTCAGAGTTGTGCATCTTGGGGTTCTCCTGGGCCATCTTCCGCCTCTGCCCCCTGGACCATACCATGAAGGCGTTCATGGGGCGCTTCACCCGGTCCTGGTCCTGGTTGGCCGCATTGCCTTTGGCCCCGGGAGTCACGGCTCCCCCTGTCTGGGCGCTGGCTTGCTGCACCGGGCTCTTGATATCAGTGTCCAGCATGCTATACATTGGGAGCTGGAAGTGCGGGGGATTTCGGGAATCCAGTTCAGAGAGAGCAGCAGGAGGAACACGGAGCCAGTCTCTGGATGGGACGGTCTAGGCGCTGCACACAAACTTCTCTGCTGTTAAGAAGTGCTTTTGGCTGAGTTTGTGAGTGACTGCATATTAATCACATCCTAGCAGCCAATCACAGGGGAGCCTCCCTGCCCTGCCCCCACCTCTCACATTTCACCAGCACTTTAACCCATTCCACGCCCTGTAAAAAAGAGAACGTCCCCTTCCCTACTCCACAAACGGTTAATGCCACAAATATTGAGATCCATATTATGAAATTATTGCTGTCACACTTCTGAAAAAGAAAAAGATCAGCCCGTGCATAGGAGTTCGTGTCACCCTGCACTTTCTAATACTTTTTTATATTAAATTATATTACTTTAATATATTGTTTTATTTTCTATTTTAACTATTCAATTAGATGACTTTTATTATTATTATATTATTTTATTTTCTATTTGATCGAAATATATTACTTTTATTATATAATTGTATTTTCAATGATTTATCTATATGACTTTTTTTATATTATATAATTTTCTATTTTATCTATTTAATGATATAACTTTTATTAATATATTATTTTATTTTCTAATTCATCTATTCAATTTTTATATATTTTTTTCTAATAGTTGTTTTGTTTTTGTTTCGAAAGTTTTTTTTTCTTTTTTACTTTTTATCCTTAAACCTTTTATTTTTGTTGTTGTTTATGCAACCATTTATATTTTTTTCGTTTTGTTTATTTAATCATGTATGTATTTAACTGTTTTAAACTCAGAGTGTAAATGCTGTTTTAGAGTTTCCAACAATATTTAACAAATAAAAAATACACAACATCAATCTATTATACACGCATACTTTTATACTGTCTTTTTTGTTTGTTTCAGGTAATTTTTTAGAGTCGCAAACACAATGTAGCATATATTTAAACCCAGATCTTTCTTACACTGCTCACTCATTACAATCGGCTTTAGGCTGAGCATACACTATACAATCCGATTATACAATCTCCTTTAGAACTATGGTCCACACTAAGTGAATAGTTTATTTAGTGGTTCTCGTAGATTTGATGGTGATAAAGGACATTGTACAGTTAGATTGTATACTGTATGACCAGTTTAGGACTTACCAATATGTGGATCTACCTAAATTATTAAATCTGTAGAAAACCAGGAAGGTCCTTGTACTACATACGTGTTGATCGATGCATTTGAGATCGAACAATCGGATTGCAGCATGTGTGTTGAGCTCTAGCTCCAGGTTAAGCAGATCATTAGAAGTGTGTGCCCTGAGTCTTTGTAGAGGATTCAGCAAGCTTTGCTCTGTAAACAGATTTTTGGAACAGATGGGGGGTTGTTTGCTCCATCCACCTGCTTTATCTGGGATTTTTACACTTTACTCTGTGGGCTTTGGCAGTAAAAGCATTAAAGGGGACAGTGAGTGCTGATTTGTCTAATCCAGAAGGTGTCTTGTACTGCTGCTAGATTGTTCATATACACAGTGGATAGATCTCTGTACAGGGTGGCAGCAGCCTTCCAGTAAATTGTAGGGGTTTGAAGCTGAAGAGAGAGTCATTGTTAATGGACTTTTGTTTTATTTCAGATCCAACCTAAAGTTCTGGGGAGAGCAGAGGAAAGACCCACATTATGGCTGGAGGATAATCAGTCCTGCACTTCTAGACCCCCTTCCATGCAGCACAAGGCTTGTTCCTGCCACAGGTGGATCCAGCCTATTACTCCACCATGAACTGATATATACTGAATTCACAGACCACCGCACCCAGATCACAGCCATTACATATACATGTGGATTGGATCATATGCAAATGTACACCAGTTTATGAAAACATGAGATTAAATGTAAAGTCATACAATAGGAGTCCTTTCCAACTCTCCCACTAATGATGCCACACCAAAAAACACCTGTATTTGTTGTGTTCATGACAGCTCCAGTATAATTGGCTGCACACCATGAATATAGAAATAGCGAATATATTCATTTTGTCTGCTGATCTGGAAACGTTTGCACAGTGATTCATATTGCATATAGCATTTTTTGTGTTTTCTGATATATAGGTCTTTTAAATGTTTAATAAGCAATACCAAATAGGAGTGGTGTAGAGTTCACAAATAGTCCTGTCTTCATCAGCTGGGGGCTTGTAATCTATATAGATGCAATAGGGTTGCTTTTGATTAGATTTTAGATCTTATGTTCTTATTCAATTTCCCTTAGATTTACCTTCAACTGTGTAACGCAAGGGCCTGTCTGATTGCATACAAATTGAAAGTGTTCAGGTTTGACCTCATATTATATAGTTTGGGTAAACGTGAAGGAAAATTGTACAAGAAAATTGTATAATGTATGGCCAGCCTTAGATAATATCCAACTCCAGAGATAATTCCAGTAAGGTAAAGGTTTGTGTGTGTATATATATATATATATATATATATATATATATCCTTTATTTAAATAGATTAATCCATAAAATGTAAGGGGCAGATGTACTCCTAGAGAGATCAGCCAGCCAAATGTCATCACTACAATAAAAAAAGAGTGTATGTATGGAGATATATATATATATTTGTTTTTTATTTATTATGCTCTGCTTCCTCTTGTACCAAATTGTATTGTAACTGCAATGTCTACCTTCATTTTGTAAAGTGCTTTGCAAACTGTTGGTGCTATATAAATCCTGTATAATAATATATATATATATATATATATGCACACACTCGCATCTCTTACTCAAAGGCGTTGATCCATAAAATGTAAAAAGCAGCTGCGCTCTTAGAGAGATCAACCAATCAGATTTTATCATTCAAATAAAACAGAAAAAATGAGGTTGCTATGGACAACCACTTATCATTTTCCAAGTTTCCATGCATGGTCTTCCCTATAGAATGTGAAGCCACAGTGGATGTGTGTCCCCAGCAGCCCCATGTTGTCTCTTTGCTGGGTGCAGATGGAAGTTGCTGGTTCCTAGAGTCATCCCTTGCTCTCCAGTGCTCAGGGTTTTGTCTAAGAGTGTGGATCTGGTGCTCCCAGTGCTGGGATCAGCTTCTGGCCAGTGATATGGGGATTTGGCTAGTCATTATACAATGGGATAAAGTTGGAGCCAGTTGTGGAGTGTTTACTGGCTGTGCAATTCTCCAGTGTTCTGGGAACCTCAGCTGTGTCCTTTTCCCCCCATTCATTTGTAAAGTTTGAATTTCCCTATAATTTGTGGGATGTTGCAGCTCTCCTCCCCCTCCCTTCTCTTTGCCAGTTAAGATTTTTTTTTTCCAGCTGGCTGCAGGTGGGGGGATGGGCTGGCGGGAGAATCCGTTTTGCCATGGTAACATTAAGCCCTTTGCCAGTGAAAGGAAAGTTTGGGGGAGGCCATAACTGTCAATCACATGGTGCTATTCACTCCCCCACCCCCCAGCTCTGACCCTTCCCCCACCTACCTGCTAGGCAGCCTACAGAGGGGCTCAAGGCGGGAGCAGCATCCCCCATCCTCTGCTGGGGAACAACTACAATTTACTTTTCACTTTTTATTGATTGTTTATTTTTTTATCTTTGTGTTTCAATATAACTTTTATCTAACTTTCGTTTAATCCAAACAAGCTAATGTTAATGACAATACATGGGCTGCAAGGTGTTTTTCTGATCGGATCCCATTAAAATTATAATCTATTTTTTAACTTTTTTTTTCATTTGATTTTTTTTTAAATGTGATTTATTCTGATGCTGCGCTAAAATTATGAGCAAGGATAACAAGTGATGCGGTTGCCCATAGCAACAAGACGCTATGCTTTGACAAGCCAATAAAAGCTGATTGGTTGTGATGAGCAGATGAGATGGGATTTCTTTTATCCCACTATAGGAAATGATCTGAATGTAGATCTAGTGTATGTGATACATAGATGTGTGGGGGGCACTTGTGGTGGCTCTATGGGCCCCTTGCAGCCTGTGAAGCCGGATGGTGGGACAGGTTGTTGCCTCTGATTAGCCGGCTGTTTGTAATGAAGATCGTTGGGACAAGCGAATCCAAAGTCTGCCTGGATTGTCACTTGTCATAGTGGGCTCCCTGCAGCCCTCCAGGACAGGCCCACCCGAGTCCACAGCAGCTGTGTGCCCCCCGACATGGGGGCTGGGGATTAATCCCATACACCATCCCCGCCAATCCGACAGCCTGATCCGAATTTTCAGCAGTGACACTTTTTTTTTTTTAGACACTTATTTTCCATCCAGGATTATCCAGTGCAAAGTGCAAAGGGCAGAGATGATATTCACAGTGCGATAACCCCCGACAACCAATCACAATTCAGAACCGTGACCACTGTCTGGACACGGGGACACATTGATCTTTTCATGGGTCATCCAGAAAATACAATGAAATGTTTTTACATCATAAAGTTTATAGCTGTCATTCATGCACGGATATATTTATATAATTCTTGTAGCCTTTGTGCTGCACCGCGGACGATGTTGGCGCTACAGAAACAAAAATGTAAATAATTAGTCGTTTTTTGTAACAAATTGTTACCGCTGCACTTGTACAATAATTCGAAAAATTAAAAAAAAAATAGGCTCAGTTCATAAAGCTAAAAACTCTGCCATTTCTAAATCTGCAGATAACTGTCACTTTATTTGTAAATGATTATACTTATTCTGGTGTATTAATAGAGTCTTATATGTGTTTCTATACATAGTTACAAATGTTTCAATGAAACAAAATAATCAAATCATACAGAGCAGAGACTTGATAAATTAATGAATGAATTAAAAACTATTGTGGTCAGCTTGCCCCGCAGACAGGTTGGAGCTCCTGTTGCCGCATATTA